GGGGATGTTTTGATTTTTTTCACTGGTCAGGAGGAAATTGAGGCAGCAGAAGAAATTATGAAACACAGGACAAGAGGTTTGGGAACAAAAATTGCGGAACTTATAATCTGTCCGATATATGCAAACCTTCCAACTGAACTCCAGGCGAAAATATTTGAACCTACACCAGAAGGTGCACGCAAAGTTGTCCTTGCGACAAATATTGCAGAAACATCTTTAACTATTGATGGGATCAAATATGTCATTGATCCAGGGTTTTGCAAGATGAAATCATATAATCCAAGGACAGGAATGGAGTCTTTGCTGGTGACTCCCATCTTGAAAGCCTCTGCCAATCAGCGTGCTGGTCGATCTGGACGAACGGGTCCAGGAAAGTGTTTCCGCTTGTACACGGCTTATAACTATCACAATGATTTGGAAGATAATACAGTGCCAGAAATACAACGAACAAACCTTGCAAATGTTGTGCTTTCTCTGAAGAGTCTTGGAATCCACGACTTGCTAAACTTTGACTTCATGGATCCACCACCTGCTGAAGCACTCCTGAAAGCTTTAGAATTGCTCTTTGCCTTGAGTGCACTAAATAAACTGGGAGAGTTAACAAAAGTTGGTAGACGAATGGCAGAGTTCCCTCTTGATCCTATGCTATCAAAGATGATAGTTGCTTCTGACAAGTATAAGTGTTCTGATGAGATAATTTCAATTGCTGCTATGCTTTCTATTGGAAATTCAATCTTTTATCGTCCAAAGGACAAGCAAGTCCATGCTGATAACGCTAGAATGAATTTTCACACTGGGAATGTGGGTGATCATATTGCTTTGCTGAAGGTTAGTTTCTCTAAAAAAATGAATTCTTTTTTATTTTTTATTTTTCAATATAGTTATGCTGCTGCTCACCATTTATTTCTACTAGTTGTTGTGATCAACTTGGTAGGAGTTCTTGGTGATTCGATGCCCTCTCTTTTCCCCACTTTCCCTTAGAAGTTAAAAACGAATGATCACGGAATTGGCAAGATAGTAAAGTTTGTTGTCGTGTCATTTGGGCTTCACACATTTATATATGTGTATATATATTCCGAGACTGCATTCAGGTTGCCTAGTCTGGTTGAATATTAAGCACTAAGAACATTAAAGGCATTAGTTGAAATGCCAAATTCTACTGTCTGAATTGGATTTTTCTAGAGTTCCTTGATTATCTTTTTCTATTGTATCTTTCAGGTTTACAATTCATGGAAGGAAACAAATTATTCAACCCAATGGTGCTATGAAAATTATATTCAGGTGTGGTACAATATTTTGAATTATTTTCACATGGCAATATTCTTGCCTCGATCACTTTTTCATTTAGTAAGGACATGTCCAGAGGCTGCATGCTTATTCTTCTATGATTCATGTTTTTCTGTAGGGTGCTGAGATGAATAAGAGATCTTTTTAAATTTTTTAAATGAAGCTTGTGATATATTTTCTCCTGAAAAATATTCTTGTCCATGTTTTGCCATTGTAAATGGTGATGACAATTTTGATTTAGTGGCTAAAACTATGATATAGCCAGTGGATTTGCAGGAAGGCAGAACTTGAGCAATTAACTGTTAGAAGCTTTTGACATGACTGTCTGATCTTGAGAAAGAAAGAGAGAGAGAAGAGGGAAATAGAAGAGAAACAGAAAGGAAAATCTGAGAAATAATTTTATTATTTTCCATGATTGATTATAATATAAAGATTGAGCCTTTTATAAACTATAAACAATTAAAACAATCACCATCATGAGCAGAATCAATGCAGCGGTGACTACTGTGAAGTAAACTCAAAACATTAACTCTAATGCTAACCCTAATTGATACTTGTAAAAGACTAATGTACCTTTTTTATTGTTTCTTTTTTTAACCTTAATGTTCCTAAGGTTAAAATATGGTTTATTATTATTATTATTATTATATAGATAAATATCTTTTTAAAGCAGATTTTTTTTTCTTTTATATATATACACACACACACACACACACTAAAGCAGTTATATATATATATATATATATGTTAATTATTATATATCTATATATCTTTTTTTTTCTGAAGAAGTTTTCTACTGCTCCATAAATCAATTTTTTTTATTTATTATTATATATAGATGTATGTGTGTATATATATATATATATATATATATTTTAAGGCAGCTTTCTACTATTTCCATCCTATAAAAATTTGATTTTCACGGATTGGCCCCCCCTCCACACCACCGACGCAGCCGCTGTCGAGTGATGTAATTATGTTGCTGCAGTCACGCCTTCTTCTTCCACCTCTATTTCTTCCGCTTCTCCTTCTTCCGTTTCTTCTTTTCCAGATCAGAACCCATATGGGGAACAAGAGACTTGTAGGTTACCATCTTGACCTCGTGCGGATTAAAGCGGAGCCTGACAAGAGCTTCCGGGAGGTAGCTCTTTCTGGCTGGTTGGCTGAGGCGAATGAGGGAGAGACCTCTAGGGTGTTCATTCTCGGCCACTACTGCTTGAGAAAGAAAGAGAAGGAGAGCAAGTGAACCAGTTCGGTTCAAAATGTTGGTTGGATCGGTTCGAATCGGATAAGTTAGGGAACCTTATTCGGTCTATGTTGTTTGGCCTAGTTCAATAACTGAACCGGTTTTAGAGTTTATTTTTTTATTTGAATCCCAATTCTTTTCTTCTCCATCACACGGAAGAGGGGTCGACTGTTCGTCAGGT